CTGTTGTAAGCTTGTTCTCCTCAGTTTAGTGGTGCCCTTCTTTTTGCGGGCCTGTCCTTGTTTTTCTTTTATTTCTTCATCTTCTCAATGAAAGTTGGCTTAAAATTCTCCTTCTATGATTACCTCCTATTAGATTGCGTTCTTGTATATTCCTGGGAAGATCTTTGTACATTCATCTTTAATGAAATTCTCTGTTTCATTCTCTCTCGCTCGCTCTCTCTCTCTTTAATAAGAAATGATCTTTTCCTTATGAAAACAAATTATGAAACATTGTCTACCTAAGTCATTATTTCTTTTATTGTTGCTCCTAAATGTCTATCTGTTTTTCATTTTTCCAATTTGTTCTTCAGCCAACGGTTTCTGCAGAAGGTAGATCACCACCTAGGATAGGAAACATTGGCCACTTGACACATATATCTAACAAACTCGTTCAACTGGCAAACAACAACAGCGAAATTCAATCTCATTTGCAGGTCAGTTCTATTTTTTGAATTTTCAGTGACACAGTGACATCATTATGATGCTTAAATTTTCCTTGTTTCTTTTTAACAGGAAAACACCGAATGGAATGAATGGCAAACAAATGTTCTTTTGAAGCGTAATGCATTGGAAAATGTCTACCAGTGGGCGTGTGGGTATGTCTTTCATTTACTATTTTATACTTTCTTTATTTGTGTACAGGCACAACATCTAGATCACAACATTATCCAACTTAAGACTACAACCTGCCCATCCAAAAAAAGCCGCTCAGAGATTGGGGAAGAACATTTCAATGTACCATGATGTTGTGCTCTATCATGGGCCTCAAATGACTGAAGTGATAATGATATACATCTTACATTCTGATAGATGATATTAATTTAATTCAATTAGTTACTATGATCTTGTCTGATTAGTTACTACGATCTTCAAAAACTCTATGATTTATCTTGCCGAAGAAGCCATGAGAAAGCCTTCACTGCACAGTTCCATAAAAGCTTGGCCTTGTTTTTAAAACTAGAGCTTGCAAAGCATTCCACCACCCAGTCCTCAATCCGGTTTGGAACACACAGTGAAGAAAAAGGTGGTCTAGAGACTCCTCTGCATTTCATCATAGGTTGCAGACTAAGGGGAAGGGCAACCAAGAGACAAATTTTCTCTGTAATTTATCCTCCTTATACAGTGCTATTTGGAAGGACCATTATGATTAAGTTCTTTCTCTGGGAGTCTGCCCTCCACGCTATCAATACTCGAGACAAATTACAAAGACGAATGCCCTATATGAATATGTCTTCTCATCGGTGTATTTTATGAAGCTACACGGTTAATCCATTGGGCATGTTTTTGTCTCCTGTAAATTGGCCTCTAGTTTATGGAACAAAAATCTCTCTTTTTGGCTGGTTGGTTGGTCTACCTATGGATTTGTCCCAACTATTGGCTTCTAGTCTCATTGGACATGCCTTCAAGAAGGAAAAGCTCTGCCTCTGGTTATACTTTGTTCGGGCGTTGCTGTGGACTGTTTGGACGGAAAGAAATTAAAGGATCTTTCAAGATAGAGCGCTCTTCTCATCATATATTTGAGCCTATAGTTTTCATGGTTATTTCTTGGTGTAACTACTCTACTCTCTTTCATCTCTACAGTTTCACCTCTCTATTATCTAATTGGAGACCTTTTTTACCCCTCTATCAGGTTCTCTCCCTTTTGTATTCATATTTCATCCTATCAACGAAATAGTTTCTTAAAAAAAAATGTATATTCTCGATTAAAAGGTTGGAGGTTCGAATCTCCACCTCCACAAATTGAGTTGAAAAAAAAGGGAGGCTTCTAAGCATTGATTGAGCGAGCGTTGATCTCCTTCGTAACTAAAGACTCCTCCACTTATCCATCTTGTAGTTACTCAATTTTGAGGTCCCAAAAAGATGCAGCATTCTGATGCCCACCAAGCATGGACCTCCATCAAAGCTGTTTTGAACAGATTTAGGGAGAGACCGGAGCCATATAAGAACAGATTTAGGACAATCCACTGATTTTTAATCATGACGATTCAGGGTTGCCCCTCTCTGCCTCCTCATCTAAAGATTATTCACTGATTTGATGTAGGGTTGCCCCTGTCTACCTCCTCATCTAAAGATTCAATACTCTTCAAAATGTCTTTTTTTGCTCCGTCATATGCCCAAAAGATGATTTGTTCTACTTCATCAAAAGGCCTTTTAGTTTTCTCATGAAAGAAAAGCCAGACCAGCCCTCTGTTGTACAATCAAGCCACCATTTCTCAACCATATCCATGAAAAGGGGAGCGTCAAGCCACATATTCTCAAACTGGAAAGGAGAAGGCCCCCACCTTTGAACTCCCAAACTAAAGGACCAATGGAAAGTAATCTGAAGTTATCCTCTTAAGCCTTTCAACTCTGAATTCTTTGAAGAAATCAGCCCACTCTCTTGTAATGAGGAATCTATCAATCTTAGTGTAACTAGGCATCTCCATTCATGGTCGACCACAAGAAGAGGCCATTGCTGATAAGTGTATCTAAAAGGTTGAGGGAAGTAATCGAAGCATTAAAAATCTTCATACTCTTGGTGACTCTTGCAAGAACCTTTGCTGCTTCTAAAATAATTTACTCACAATTTCTGCCATGAGTTGGGCAAAGTCTGTCTGGTTTCATTTAACGTGTACAAGGATAGTTACAAAAAGGTCCTCCAATTGAGACATAAATGTGTTGAGAGAATAACTATTAAAAAAAAAATTGATCTAAGATACCAGGATGTAGACGAAGAGTAAAAAATATGGCTTCCCACATTTAGTCAAAATTTCTAAAAGAGACATTGAAGACTCTCCTATTCCTTTCTAGCCTCAGTATCACAAAACCATCGTTCTCTATTTTCTTGTATTTTCATCCTGATTTCTCTATTTTCTTGTATTTTCATGGTTGCCATAGATCTATATATCATGCTGGTATTTTCCCCTTTTTGATTGTGTTATTGTCTTATTATATATTTTGACCCAAATATTACTTTGGCTGAGTTTGTAATTTCAACATTGTCCGATTTATATTTTTGTGCACTTGATTTCTTCTATTGTCTGAGTTACTGTCATCTTAACATTGAGATATATTTGTGTGCTCAAAATTGAAATGTCCTCCTGTCTATCTGAAATGAAATGATTATTTCCAATAGGCGCCCAACTGCACTGCAGGATCGGACTAGGGATAGTGATGATGATGATTATCAAGATAGAGACTATGATGTTGCAGCTCTAGCAAATAATTTGAGCCAGGCTTTTCGATATGGCATTTACAGTAATGATGATATGGACGAGGTACTGAACTTTTTTTGTACTACTCTTTTAAAACTTTTTATATGATAGTTTCCTGAGTAAAGGAACTGGTGTGGAGAAGTCAATGTGGAAATGCATTCTGAGTTCTCAACTGCAAGAGATAAAAGTAGGATTATGAGCTTCCTTGCATGTATTATTATTTGTCTGCCACTTTTGTTTCTTCTTATTATTTTTTCATCAGGAGCAAAACTGATTAGTAAACATGCAAAGAACACAGAAATATATAATAAAATAAGAGATGAGTTATGGCATACCAACAAAGAAGTAGTACTGTGTTTGTTTGTTGTTCATTGATTCCTGGTCTTTCCCTTGTTTACCGATTATTTTCTTACTTTTTCAGGCTCACGGCTCGCTTGAACGTGATGACGAGGTGTGATGACAATAATTCACAAAACTAATCTTCTGAATGATTTTGCAACATAGCATTTTAGTTTCTTTATTTTCTCTCCTTCCAAAATGAATTTATTTACACCCCTTCTTCTGCATGCTATAGCTTATGGCCTTTTCAAATTCAACCACTTGTATAGTTATAAAAGACCGTCATGAATGACTATAATGTTCCTGTCATGTCATGATAACTTGATGGAAAGTTTTGATTGAATAAGCTGTATGTATTGGTTGACGGGCATGGTTTGGGCATCGCACTGACACTATGACTATCTTAAGTTCCTGCAAGTAAAAAACAAGTACTGATTCATAGTAGATGTATATATAGTGGATATCATATTTAATTGTCCTCATAAGGACTGAGGTGGTTTGTATGTCACTGAGCAAGGGATCAGATATTTCCATTAAATTGGTGCTAGCGTTCCATATTTTGCTTATGGGATGGTCTTGTGGGAAAATGTTTTTTTGAATGTATAAGTGTTTCCTGATGTAGAGCTCTTGCAGGATGTTTATTTCGACGACGAATCCGCTGAAGTTGTTATATCCTCTCTGCGTCTAGGTGATGACCAGGAAAGGTAGGTAAAATCCAATCCCCTCCCCAATTTATTCTTTTTGACAAAAAGGTTACTGAGAATCTATAGATATTTCGGTGGAAATGAGCTCCCTCTGCTTAGGACCATTGTTATGGAGTGGTTCCGTCTCCTGTAAATTATAATAACTTTATATTTTTATTATTTTACTCAGAAAAATGGGGCGACCTTCATAGTAAGTGTAAGATATTTAGTATGATAGTAACCAATCTCTTCCACTGATGCTTTTATGAAGAATCAGCAAGGGACTGATATTTGTACAAAGTAAAAATAAACAGAGAAAAACGAAAAGGCAAAACCAGGAGATGAAACGAAACCAAGTGTGGGAGGTAGAAGGTGGATTTAAGTGATGGAGAAAAAAGGCTTGGAGAACGAAGGGACATTGGTGTAGGTGGGAAAAAAGGATTGTCTGATAAAACTTTGGGGTTGATATTTGGTGGGTTGACGTTGGGGTTAGCAGCATAATCTGTCTCTCGGTTTAGGATTTTAGCCTTGTCTAAAAATTCTCTCCTTCAAATTAATGTCTGTACTCATTTTACTTCTTTACTTAGTTAAAGTTGGTTAATCTAATCAAGTTTAGTAGAGAACTTATCTTTTACCAGTGGCATATATTCTTTGCTGAAAATTTTCCCCCTTTTCATTATCAATTAATCAAGATGTTTCCTGTTTCATACAGTGGCTCTCTCTTCACAAATTCAAATTGGTTTGCTTTTGAGAATGATTTAATTGCAAATGATCGTACAACTGGCTTGCTGGCTTCTCCTTCCCCTGATATTAAAGAGTCTGGAATTGTCAAGGATGGCGCTGATGATGAAGTTATTGTTGGTGATGATGATGATCTGGATGACACTGCAACATCCTCTCCAGAATCACAAGGGACGTCAGATCGCTCACACAATGTAACGAACAGTTCAAAAGAAATGGTGGCCGACGAAACTGATAAGCCACCTGAGTGGGTCGAATGGAGGGAGACCTCAAATCATGAAGATTCGTCCTTAACACTTCCAAATGGGGAACTTGCAGTAGTCCCAGAGGTTACTGAGCCAGATGCCATAGGACCCTCTCCATCCACGGATGCATTGATTGGTAAAGAGGCTGCTGTTGGACAAGTACCAGCGCCAACCCATGATGATGGCAGTTTTGATTCCTCCGATGTGTCGATATCTGGGGGGAATGTTAATGTAAAATCAAAATCTACAACTAGTGAGGAAACAGTCGATACAGGAGCCGAGGCCGGGGCCGGGGCCATTGACGTGACAATGGGTGACAAGAACACCGAGGAAGCTGGGAACTAGTTCAAATGAAATGCTGACTGATATGTTCGACATTGATCCCGTCGGGTGACGAACCCTTAGGCATGTTTTTGCTGGCTAGGGAACTGTATTCTTAGATCCTTGTGTACATCAATCAATGGGCCAAGGTGAAGGTATAATAGGTTGATTATTCTTTCTCACCCTCTGTAGAAAAGTTGAGTCTTATGTTTGTCTGTCACTCTCACAGTGTCTCCTGTGAAAGAGAAGGTTCTAATGTCGGATATTTTTGGCGGGTAATTGAATAGTATTTTAGTTGTTAATTGGCGCCAATGAAGTTTATTTTAATTCTTGTGCCTTGAAACTTTACTACAGTGTATGGAATCATTGTGCAGAATATCGAGGCATGCATGGTGGTTCACAATATTTGAAAGGTAGGTGTCCAAATGTTGATTGAATTATCGATATTATCGACGTGGATAGATATTTTTAAAAAAGATCATTAAAGATGTTTAAATTTGATCTACAATTTTTTTTCATTAATATTATGTCTCAATATTGTTTATCTTTTCGTTTGCGATATTATGGAAATGTCGATTCATCTCTCACGTCAATGTTGTATTATGAATACATACAAATGTTCGATGGAAATATCAATTTGAATCTGACTCAATTTTTGGTGGAGTCTTTCTTTCGCTTTATATACATTTTCACAAAGAAACTATCCAAGGCTAATTCTTGTGGGTCTTTCATCACAATAACTATGATGATAATTATGATGGAGAAAATGCCAATTCAAATTGAACTTACTCTTCCTCTTCTCCTTTTATTACCTTTTTTTTTGTTAGTCAAACATGAAAAAGCAGGTATTTCTTCACTATTTACCTGCTTGAAACCGTTGTTTCCATCATTTCAACTATTGATTCGTATTATTGGCTTGTATTTCATTTCTGTAGAAATCCAACAGCCCACTGCTACATTCATTTCATTGGGAATTGATGATCTTTTTAACAATACCTTCAAAGGGATGACTAGCCTAAGATGTTGAACCACAAAGTTCGATTTTGGAAAAATACCATCATTATGGAAACATATATATATTAGACAAATTACACCAGTCTGTTTATTAAGATATGGTATGCAAGTGAATATTTGCAAACATACTCAAATAGTTGAAAATTGGGCATGGGTTGTTTTTTTATCTAGATGAACTTAATGAGATAACAAAATATCATTTGATATAGGATGATTTTCTCCTCAAATGATATTTTGTAGGGGAAAAAAACCTGAATTATGATGTTTTTATTTCACTAATACCAAATCTATTAGATCTTTGAAATAGTACGTGAATTTGTGATGTCTCATTCTTGACATTAGGAGATGGTGGGGTGCAATGTGCATTACGTGAAAACGAAAGACCAACTTCTTTCTCAAAGCAACCTCTTTACATATTACTGCATAACACAAAGATTACTTATTCTGGAATAACTTGCTAATCACCAAAGTCTCAAAATTGTAAGGTATATATATATATATTTTAGTACTAACATGTGGGGTAGGAGATCAAACTAACAACCTATCGATTGAAGATATATACCAAATATCATTAAGCTATGTTCATCTTGGCAAAATGTTAGCACCCCACAACCTATTGATTGAAGATATATACCAATTATCATTAAGTTATGTTCATCTTGGCAAAATGTTAGCGATGTTAATAAGTCAATAGAAGTATATTGCATTGATAAACTCTTTGTTGGTCTATCGGTGGGATAAAACAAGTTTCATGAAATTCTCGGCACCAATCAAATCGCTTTTCCTAACTGCTTGATGCATAATTAAATTGTATTTTTTCTCTTCCCTCTCGTATACGTTTAATGACATGAAATCTCGAAACACCTTTAAATGTAGTAGATAACATTTATCTAAACCTTTACTAGTAATTTAACAATTAAAATAATAATTTTTGAAAAATTATATCATTTTTCAATCGTGCCATAACTATAATATATAAATCAAAATCACACGTCTTTAGTTCTTTTTAATATACTTTCACTGTGTTAAACTAACTTTGGTTTATAAACATGTTTCCCATATTAGAGTTGCTCATTTGATGATGTGATGTGTTTTAAATTAAGAATAGTGAATAGCATGTGGATGGAATTTTAAACAACTTATGTTCAAATAAAGTTAAAGAACACTGACAATATAGAAAAGGAATTCTACAAAGCACCCAATATGTTCACCTCACTCCCTTATTCTCCTCTCTAATATATATATTTTCATTTATATTACTGATCTTTCACTTTAAAAACATGGATCTAGCTCAAAAGTATATATAGATTGATAAATAAAGCAATACAATTATGTTGCTTTAAAATTTTAAATACTATTTTGGTTCATATTTTCAAAATATTCATTTTAGTATGTTTGATCGTGAATTTGATCAAGTTCGGATCCGCGAATCTCAAATGATATGTATTGTGGTCCAAAGTGCCTACAAGACAAAGTTAGAACTTCGACGCTTTAATTAGTACAATATCCAATCTAATCTTCAAGAGAAAAATAGTTTCATGTACCTTGCGTGAGAGGCGAGAATCACTATTTATAAAGATTAACTATCGACAGAGCTCCAACAGCCATTCGACATTTTGGAAAATGCAGTGTGTTGTCGAATAACATTCTCATTGCCTTTCACGCATGCAGGTGTTCTTCAAGGTTGACTCGTACTCGATGAAGGTCGGCCAAAAGGTGACATGTTGCTCGGCTTAGCTACCAATTGCCGAGCTATCTAGACTTGAGTCATGAAAGGTGCGGTTGAGTCTTCTTTATAGTTTTGCTTTAGATGACACTAGATGTTGGTCATTTTAGTTTATTTTGGTATGTGTACATCTAAAAGTGATTATTTTGATCACTTCATATTAATTTTTATCTAATTTATTTCAATCACATAACTTTGATACGACAAACCAAAATTTGAATGAAAGATTTACATTATCTATAAAATTTGTATTGAAATTTTATAAATAAGGACAAAATTAGTCACCTTTTTAAAAAGTACTTAACATTTTCAAATTACACAAACCAAAATTAACAAAAATTGAAAGTACATGGACTAAAATGAAAAAAAAAAAACGAGATTCAAAATAGTATTTAAACCAATCATGTTATTTTTAATACATGAGACAAATAGTAAAAAAAAAAAAAGACACTTCCCAATCTCACTAACTTGGATGAAATAAAGGGAAACTTTTAAACCAATAGAGTAGGTACTAAGATGTTAATCAAACTTTGATTATCACTGCTTATCCAACCTGTACAAATCATCAAACTTTTGGCATCTTTCTTTGCCAACCTAAAAAAAGAGAAAAAAAAAATTAGAACATGATTTTACTGAAAAGACCAAATTTTAGATAATGTTGAGTATTGCAATTGTTGACTTTACAGACTCCCACACTGTTTTCAGCCAACTACCGGGTGGACTCGTCCGAGTTCGTTCAACTCAGTCCATTAAAAAAAGAGAAAAAAAAAAGACAGAAAAAACAGAAAATCGCCAGCTTGAAAAATTAAAATGGTTTCCGCCAAAAATGAATTGAAGTCCAAGTTTCCAAATTCCAAAAACATTATTTTAATTTTGAAAAAATTGAATATATAATCCGACAACGACAGTGGCCCCGGCCAGCTGCTCCCCTCCTTTGGCCTATTGGTTTCCTCACTCTCTTTGCTTTTGCTTTTTGGTGCCAAGCTGCGAAAATTCCTAAGCTTTCCTACCTCTCTCTGTGCCACATCAAAAACCCTAGACCTGTTTTCCGTTTCAGTTTAACCATCTGTTTCGGTTGCTTGTTTTCTCAGATCCTACGCATTGTTTGTTTCGGTAAGTTTTCTCTCAGTGTACTCTGTTCTGTGAGCTGCATTTGAGCTAGAATTGTTTTTTGTTGGTCTGCATTCTCTGTGCTGGAGCTAATCTGTTACTGTTATTGCTTCTGGGTGACTGGTTTTCAGCTGAAGAACCTTAGTTTTGTGCTAGATCGCAGTGTGGTGTTTGGTTTCTGAGTACTGTTGCTCTGTGTACCGAAATCTTCTGTCGTTTTTGAATTTTGTACTGTGGTTCTGCTTGTTACCTTTTTACCTTTTTGGCTGAAGAATGTCGCAATGAGCTGCTGAGGGGAATGTAGAGAAAAACTGTGGACGGCTTTGGGGAGCTTGGTGGAGTTGATTTTGGTTGGTTAATTTTATTTTTCGAAGAACCGAGAAGAATTGAAGCTTGTCCTGTTCTCATTGAATTCACGTGGTGAGCAGAACAAGAAAACGATGACCCCTTGACTCGTTTGACCGACCTGTCATTTTGATTGAACTCTTCTGGACTAAATTTTACTGCTCGAATAGGTGACAAGAATGGAGGATTCCCTGGACCAACCAGCGGAAGCAAAACTGGAAGATTCCATAGCTCAGTCGGGTGAAACGAAATTGGAAGATCCAGTTCCCATACTGAGTGAAGACATAATTGTGAAGCATCCCAATTCGGAAAAAGTTCCAGCGGTCATTTCGTCAGGAAGTGCAAAGAGAAGTACAAAAACTGTGAAACCTTCTGCTGCAGTTGCACCGAAGGCTAGCTCTGGTAGAAGGAGCATTGAATCTAAAACAACTTTGGATTCCAGTTCGAACGTCACCAAATCAACTGCAGGTGGGTCTACGCGAGTTTCAAGTTCACTTCCAGTGACGAGAAGAAAAAGCACAGGAGGATTACCTGAGAAGTCACCTGCATCTTCTTCAAAAAAGCAAAACAACGTGAACACTGTTGCAGCGACAAAGACTTCAGCATCAGAGCCAACAAGGCGTTCTCTCCCAGAGCTCAAAAGGAGCTCATTGCCTTCAGTTGTTTCCAAGCATTCCTCTAGAACAAACACACCAGAGACCAGAAAATCTGTCCCGATTTCACCAGCAGACCGGAGTTTGAAATCTTCGAAACCATCTGATATACCTGGGAAAGAAACCAGTAAAGATGCTGCTAAAAAGTCCTCAATTAAGTCAACAGCGTCAATCTCATCTTCATATACCTCCAGAAGGATCACTTCCACTTCCCAGGACAGCAGTGACAGTAGTGGCAGCGTTGCTAGAAAGACAATCTCAAAGGTTTCTTCTCCTTCGGCTCAATCCCCTTCAGTTTCTAGTGGATCAAGAGCTGCATCTTTATCTTCACCTCTTGGAAAGAATTCTAGACCACTCGGACAGAGGAAGGCAAGAACTCCTGAAAGCCGGGATTCTCGATTTGTTGTTCTTCCTCAGGTGGAAATAAAAGCGGGTGATGATTTGGTAAGAAACTTTGTCGAAATATTCTAGTGCACGTTCATCTTCACGAACTTCAGCTTGGCTAATGGCTACATCTCATTCACTGCGTAGTCATAATGTAATAAGTAGGCTCAGGGTGTTGGA